TCATGTCGCTCGAGTCTCAACCCCAGTGAAGTGTAATTTTCTTCAAAGAAATAAAAAAGAATAAATAGCATAGAACAGAGCAGATCAGAACAGTGCAGAAATAAATAGGACAGGTGGTAAAGAAATCATTGGAAGTCATGCAGATTGTGTCCACTAGGGCTTTTATTTTTATCCGTTACATGCTACATCTTCTAATCATTAAATGGCTACAAATGTGTTGATAGTTTTTATGCTCAAACAAATGTAGAGCGTTAATTCATAACTTCTAATTTGAATTAATACAACCTCAATGTGAGAATGTGTATAATGCAGCAATAAAAAGATTTATTTAGTAAAACGAATGTCACGTAAAATACGGACTCAAGTAAAAGTAGCATAAGCCTTAATGCTACTTTCACTGTGCTGCACTAGATTATCCTCCTTGACTGACTGGGATGTAAGATCACTGTAAAAGCCATACTTTTAGAAAGGCCAAAAGCACTGCATAGTTAGGCTGTGGGAGTGAAATGTTTCAAAATGAAAGAAGACGGCGGGAAACGAGTAGCACTTAAAAGACTGCTCCTTATTACAGACCTACTCCAGCAATAATTTTAAACACTGGTAGAGACAGAGACGTCCACTGCTGTGGTAAAGCATGGAAAAGTGATAATATAGCTAAAATAAATCGATTAGCAACGTTTTTTAATTGACTTTGGCGTAAGGGAACGAGGTTTCAATTACTCATTAATTTATTTGTCCCTCTTTTTTATCTAACTCGTTGGCTAGACAACCGTTTGGATGACTGACTGGCCGACTTGCATCTACTTGCAATATTCAAATTACTGGAACCTGGACTAGAATACCGGTTCATTTTGAGGGACGGAGTGTCTGGTAATTATCCTTTGGTTCTGTATCTACCGCATCCACATTTACATCCCACTTTGCTTCCTACCCTTCCTCCTCCACCTCCTCATAGAGCTCGACCCCCATATTCGCCTCCGCTTCCACCTTACTTGTCACCAGTTGGTGGATTGGTAGTCATACTGCAAAAAGACAAAACACAGTAGTTAGAGATGACGACAAGATAGGAGTGCATTTGGACTGTGGAAATGACAGCTGCCACCTGTCTGCCGTTCATGAATATCTAGCCACTGTTTCTCAGCCAAATATTCAAAGAGGTCACGCTTTGACTCTTTCTTCATCACTCAGTGTCGTCGTCATCGAACCCTACACGACAGTAGCGATCGGTCAGACCACGCTCCTAACTGATTGCTATAGATGAGGCCTGAGAAAATGTGTAAATGTGAACGACTGGCAGTAAGTAGAAGAAGCAGAAGGAGGCTGGAGTATGCAAGGAAAAGGGAGATACTTGCCAACACAGTCAAAAAAATATGTTTAAAAAAATTGTGCTGGTAGTAGGTTGTGTTCGATAGGGGTGACGGAAGAGGAGAATATGGGTGTCAAAGGACTGGGCGATGAATACCCTGTTACTGTCGCAATTGTAGATACGGATTGGAGGAGCAAGGGAAGCGGAGACAGATGAGGATGCAGGGGCAGAGGAGGATAAGTTATTGATGGCTAGCATAGAGGTAAAACACCTGAAGAAGGAATACGATCTCTAAGTTAGCACTAGTTGTGAGTTCCTCGATGACAATGAAGACAATTGTCTAGATAGCTCTAGTAAGACGAGAAGACGTCGTCATTCATGTGTAAAGGCACACAGAGAGAAACAGACCCCAAGCTCTGCATGTACTGAGTGTGAATAAACCAAGAGCTGGACAATGTGATTGCCGAATGAAGTATTGGTAGTAGATTAAAAATAGGAATGAAGAATTGGGAAGAGTTGATGGATGAGCTTAAAGTGGAGTGGCGAATTTCGTGTATATTATGAGCAACTCGGGAGCAATTTAAACATTATTTTGAGCACCATTTATACGTGCTGTTATTTATAGCCTTATTGACAAACAAATTAGATGATTAACTAGTCGATCAATAATCGATAATGTTTTAGAACAAGGACGGCACTAGATGTGAAATTGGTAGTTGTAGGTGTGGAGTGTATTTGAACGCTTAAATTGACGTTCTTTTAAATGACCAGTTAAGTTGTTAGTGAAATGTATATAGGAGGAATGTGGAGTAAAGGTGACTGACTGGTAGTAAAGGAATTATTGTCCGTGTGAGCCTTCCACCATGTTATTCGAGCCGTGATTCTATTGGCATTTTTTTAGCAAGGTAGTAGAAGGTAGGGGAATGGAAATGAGTAGGGTGGAGTGCAACAGCATCAAAAACCTTGCTTTCTGATGTTCATTTCCTTATTAACCTGCTTGCAAACTCCACAGAACCCAGGCCAATGCATTTACACAGTCTCAAAACATGGCGTTGTGTAAAAGTTTGTTTTGCAGCCACCCTGTGCCTTAAGGAACGTATGCTGCAGGCGTCGTCACCTGAAAAATGCAGAAACGTGTAGAGGTATTTGCAGATCCTTATTTCCCTTGGCTACGGCATATTCCATATTGTCATTTTATAAATGCTTCCAACTAGCATTTACATAACAAGTAAATGCAATGAAATTTTTAAATACTTCTTGTCATATTTTGTCCAAATTTTTTGATATCCGATTTTACCTTTCCCACAATGAATTTACAAATTGGCACAGTATAACTCTGATAATTTAGACTTCGCCACACCATGTGTATGTAGCGTCATTCAGCATGAAATGGAGTAAATATTTAGTGGTAGGAACGTCGAAAACAGCAATCTGCAAATAATTAATTGGTGACGCTTTATTAGTTTGTTTTGATATTTATCTTGACCTACACATGCTATTCTTAATATCGCACATTAAAATATACTAGACAACGGCTGCTAATTTTGATCACACACAAAAAAAGCATCTTCCGAATTAGGTCTGTGGAATTAAGTCCTCCCTATTCTAATGATATTTTTTTTCTCATTGCCTAAAAGCCGGTTTGCTCTTGAGTACAAAAAAATTTGTTGTTGATGTAAAACGAGTCTGTCATACCCACACATTGCAATGCAGTGAGTAAATGCTTCCATGTGTGTCTTTATATTCTTACTTTTGTCTAAATGCGGAACATTTACCACTTGTCAGGTAAAGGGCAACCATCTGCTCAAGTCGATTCTTCTTGGCATTATTATGGAACGCCGTGGTGCAGAATTTGTGGCATTTGGCTTTAATTTGCGTAGTGAGTAAACCTGAAATGCAGCCACTGGGCTTGAATGCTTTTCTTAATATCAGAACCTAAAATGTGCAAGCAGCAGAAAACCTATAAATGGTTAAACGAAGAACAAAAGACAAGAAGGAATGATTATGGGATCATAATTCATGCACTGAGGGCACAGCACAATGTGTAAACATAAAAGGCACGTTTTCACATGAAGGAGTTTTCGAGTTGAGGGTGAGAAAAACGTGTACTTATTTTTTAAGAGAAGCCAAAGGGGGCATAAAATAGTAGTTTTAAAATTAGTCTATCTAAATAAGGTCAAAAAATGCCCTAAAAGTGGGCATTTTAGTAATAATGGAAATTTCTGGCAGAAGGGAAAATAAGTAATGACGCTGACACAACTTGGAGAATTATACGTTGGAACATAGATGTAGAGACTTAAGGTTGTTTGTCGATTTTAACATATTATTTATTAAAAATTTGTAATCATTTTCCTTATATGTTGTTATAGGTGTGTGTCTTAATGCTCCAAAAATTAATAAGTTGATTATATTTATGCCTAAACTTTTAAACTGATAAAGTGCCTACCATTGTACTTGATTTAGCAAAAAATGACCCATCGGATTATAAATAATAATCTTTTTCTCATTCTGAGAGGACATCGAAAAATAAAAATCCTTTAAATTAAAAGATAAACTCCAACTTATTTTATATGTGTGGTATTTGGAATGGCATTTGTGGGCCAAGGTAATCAACCAAAATAAAATGATAAAAGCGGCAAAAAACTATTACCGGTCAGTAAGTTGCAAATTGCTGCATTTGTCACTTTTACAATCACGGACACTACAGCTACACCAACGCTGCATTCTGCGTAACATTAGTCTCCTTGGTTGCGGAGTATGCCCGCCCCCACCCACAAATGGCCTGTGGCTTGTCCTCCTCCACCGATGAACACTGTCAACTGACTAGCGAGAATACCCTATAGACCCTGACGAGACCACCTTGATCATGTCGCGATGGAGCTCACTCATTTTCACAAGATGCGACAATGTCGGCTAGCCCAATCTCAAATGAATTATCATCCATCAACTGCCTATGGATGAATTTCGAGCCAAATTCACTTTGCCTGTCCTCATCAAAGCTTTCGACAAGATGTAAGACAAGTGTAGCAGGGACTAAAACTAACAAGGACTGATGTGCAAACACAAAGGAACGTGAGATAAGAGACATCGGGAAGCTGTAAGTAGAGCTGACAGCAGGCACTATGCGTCAATCAGCAAGTGTCTACGTTACTATACAAACAAAAGTGAAATAAAAAGGGGAAGAAAAAACTGATCATGAAAATTGGTTCAGGGTGACAATATTTGATGAGAGAGGAATGTGAAGTCGGTGAGTGAGACCTCAGTGTGCAGGCGAGACGTGGCAATCGAGACGCTTCCCGCGCAGGGAGAGTGAAAGTGTCTGGAAATAGGTGCAATGACGTGCGGCGAAGGCAACTGCAATTGCACCGGTGCGTCACAAGCCGCTGAGCGTGCCCCCATGACACACAACCACGACCACATGACTACCACTGTCTACATATCTGCTATCTACTGCGCCATCAGAGAGTGCTTCGCCACCGCATTCACTCGATGATGACAGCTGCTGTCTACTCTGTGCAATTTTCCCGACCAGTCCATTCTCTCCTTTTAACTTGACACTTATTCTTACACCCTCACCCCTGTTCTATGTTTCCTTTCCATGCACGAGACACTGCAATGAAATTCACGTCTCTTCTTGCTGCCCACCATCTGTCCTTGACCCTGCGTCGTTTCGTGG